GCCTATCCACGATCACCCAAATCGCATCGACTCCCCTCGCAGTCCGCGGTAACTTGGTGATGAAATCCATAGTGATTTGTTCCCACTTCCACTCGGGAATCTCTAGCGGTTGCAACTTACCGTGCGGTCGCTGGTGCTCGGCCTTGACCTGCCGACAAGTCAAGCACCTCTCGACAAACCAAGTGACATCCCTTTTCATACAGGCCACCAGTACTCCTTCCTGAGATCCAAATACATTTTCGTAGCACCGGGATGAATCGAGAATTTCGATCGATGTGCTTCCTCCATCAAAATAGTACGCGCACCGCCCACAAACGGTACCCAAATCCGACCCTGAAAAGTCATAAGCCCTCGACCATCCGTGAAGAATCCTGATACCTGACCTACAACCCGCTCCTTCTTCTGATGTTCTGGCTTTGCAGCCTCTACCTGAGCTCCTCGAATAATATCCAAAATCGGGGTCAATACCGTCAATCTCATGCAAACATCTCGGATCGGGGCGCTATCCACCCTACGGCTCAACGCGTCGGCTACCACATTAGCCTTGCCCGGGTGGTACAGGATCTCACAATCATAATCCTTCACCACATCCAACCACCTCCTCTGGAACATATTCAGATTTGGCTGATCCATCAAATACTTCAAGCTCTTATGGTCCGTGTATATCGTACACCGAACCCCATACAAATAGTGTCGCCAGATCTTGAGGGCAAACACCACCGCCCCCAGTTCCAGGTCGTAGGTGGGATATCTCGACTCATGAGGCTTCAACTGCCTAGAAGCGTACGCTATCACATGACCCGTCTGCATAAGCACCGCCCCCAAACCCGATATAGAGGCATCACAGTACACCACAAAATCCTCCATCCCTTCCGGGAGTGCATGTCACAACTAGAAATTTTGTGTCTTGTAATCACTAAACTCAAGTAAAGGTTGAATCAAAAACTTAAGAGCATGTGTGATACCTATTATTATGACATCAAAAACTTCAAACAAATACATCGTACAAGTACTACAAATGGTCATCAAGAAATTGGAAACCCTAGAAGTTCTCGTTTAAGTCCATTTTGGACTGGGACTTCCTTATTGGGCCCAAATGGACCAATAAGCTTCCAATTTGACTATCATGGGCTTAGAACCCTTATATGGGCTCTAATTGGACCCACATTTATTTATTTCAATATTTTGGGCCATGTTGGGCCTAGAATGAAATGAATTAAAAGCTTTGATCCATGATTAACCTAAACTAGCCCAACAAAGTATAAAAATCATATTATATTTTTTTTAGGTTAAAAACTCATCTAACTTAACCTTTACATGGGCTTGAGGGCATTGAAGCCCAAATTTTCTTTTTCCTTTCACATTCTCGGCCCAAGGCCCAAGTCCAAGAAGAAATGGAGAAGTGTTGACTATTTGCATGCCACCTCACAATTAACCAAAGGATTTCCATGCAAAATGTTCCATGTTTCCATGCATATCACCTCAAGGGTCTATTTCTCTCTTCTCTCACTCACTCTCGGCCGAAACACACACACACATACACAAATATCTCACAAATTCTCTCTAGAATACTCAAGAACACATCCTTCCTCTCCACTCAAAAATCTCGAAAATTAGGAGGCTTTCAAGAGGATATTTCCACAAACTCTTCATCTAAGGTAAGTTAATGCTTGGATCCATGCTTTGGACTCTTCCTTATCTTCAAAAATCTCTTCTTAACTCTCATGAAATCATAAACTTGTGTCTTAGAACTCCATAAACTCGAATTCATCATCAAAGGGTGCTAGGGTCAAAAATCACCAAGCTTTCTTCCATCCTCTCTTCAAAAACCGAATCAACATCCAAAGGTGAGCTTCATACCCCCTTATATGTGTGTTTGGTATGATTATGATGTTGGATCTAGTCATAAATCACTAAAAACCGAGATATACTTTATGTTAAATGATACTAACATAGAACATACTACTACATACAAAGTATACCAAGAAAAATAGCTAAGTGGCTTAACAATACATACTTTGGGCTAAAAACTCATTTTTTTTTTGACATAAATGTTAAAAATACAAAGTTAAAGGGCCCAAAATGAAATATTTCGAAATCTGATGGGTGAGATGAGTCAAAACAGTTTCCATAATGTATTTTCTGAAAATATACTCTTTTGGAGGATTAAAAACATAAATTTCAAGCTTAATGGGCTAAAAATGACAATTTCGGCCCAATAGGGCCCATTATGCGAAATTTTCTGTTTTGGAGGGCCAAAACTGTGTTTTTCTGTAAAACAGTGGACTACTAGTGTTACAAGTAC